TTTACTTATATGTAATGGCATTCTGCACCTCTCTCTGCCCAGAAACTTTTCATATCTGCTAGGGCGAACGGACCACCCTCATACATCACTACCTTCTTAGGTGTACCCCAAGGCAACACTTGTTGTTGAACAAACTCTAATACCCCTTTAGTATTCTTCTCTTCCAACGTGTATGGCCGACATCACACCATCCTCGAAAAATGATCTATGGCCACTACTATACCTTCGGAACCGTGAACTGTCCTTGGCAAGGTCAAATGATCCATGCCTATACACACTGCAACCCCTTTCGGCCTCTCAGGCTGCATTAACAACCCTGTAGTACCACGAAGCCCCTCAACTTGTTGACACGCAACACAACTCTTCAAAACCTTCACAACCTGCAAACGCAACACTTCCTCTCCATACTTAACTTTCAGGAACTCCCATATCCTATCTACCGCTTCTCTTTAACCACTGCCAGCCGGACCCTCATGTCTTCCACACTCTTGCAGACTTTATCAAATGACAAATCCATACCTTCATCAATCTCTGGAGACCCATTTTTGCACATGCAGCGAACTTAACACCCTCTACCGACACATGCACCATAATAGGATCAAACCACCACGGCATACGACTAAGTCCATCCGCAATTTTGTTCTTTGGCCGTGGTTATTTAAAATCAGGCATACTAAATATTTTGTTTCAGCCTTTACATATTTATTTTGAATTTACATACTCGGAAGACAAATATTTTACGTATGTATGTAAATATGTACTACATTAGCTCACTGTATATAAAAACTAGTACACAGGTGACTCAAAACTATAAAGTACCAAACCGCAATTTGAACACATTTGTTTCTTATCGGCCGATTTCTTGACTGTAAATTGTGTTTTTAAATACATACATGTGAATATATAGTGTAATTTGACCACCTGTGCACACATACAACGTGGCGAGTGTACAATGTCAGATAGAGTGAGTCGTATTCAGGCGGGGCCAGAGGCCAAGAAGGTTAAGTATACGCGTAAGTGCATGTGCGGTGTGGCCCACTGTATGGACGAAACAAGCAGAGAAATTTCATTACCTAAGGGGCGTGCATCAGATCACAATGTAGATTCAGAAACCAGAAGAGCACATAGCTGGTTAAAGATACTTATACCAGGCGTAAGCGATGACGTTGTAGATCATTTATTGAGGAAGAGAGATGTAGCAGGGAAAACAAACAACGCACCAGTGAACGCAAAACATTTTCCGTTGCATGCATTGCATTTCACATATGGCGGAAATCAATTGCATGTCAACATGTGTCCACAACCCGCACTACCATGTCGGCAATTACGTGGAAGTACAACTTCCAATTGCAATCAGTGACAATTAAAAAATATGAAGAAAAAAATGGTAAAGTGTATATGCAGTAACGATGAGGAAGATTGTGGAAGTGGTATTAGTGAACGAGATGCTGTGTTTCTGCCACACCAAAGTGCGCAGTCTGACTGCTCGTACAAGACTGAAGGAAAGAGTACGTTTACGAGCAGCGACCGGCAAGCGATAAACCATCCGAATTCACAAGCATCACTTCAGCGCTGAACAATTTAGTTCTAGTTCAAAGATCAGAGATCGCATACTTACTGATGCGTACCCTCGGTTTCGTCCATATGCTTTAGGTATAGAAGGCGATGATAATTCAGTACATGAGACAGGCAGTAAGGAACCCACTCCAGGTACATGTCCACGTGAGAGAAAAATACTCAACCCTATTACAGTTTCGCTAACAAACCACATACAGGAAAACGGGTTAAGACTTACACAGCATCACACAAAAGAAACACACACACACATTTAATTTCACCTGTGGAGACACCTGTTAGCAGTGAGGCGATAACTGTAACGGTGGAAGAAAGGGGTGCACTATGGTTAGCAGCACTTGCTAAGCCATTATTTTGTCTTGTGGAAAAACTGTATACAGTATTTTCGTACACGATACAGTACTAATTAAAAACATACAATATCTTTTGCAACAGCTGGTTTCGTGTAGAGTTAGAGACGCCAGATTGTTCGTTGGACTATGACAGTTGCAGCGCGCCAACGAAACGCTGGATTCATTGGATATTGAAGTCTCTATCACCCGCCGCAAAATCGGTTACTTAGAAAATGTGCACACGCAAAAATTCAAAATAATGGTTTTCTCCTTGAAATTATCAAAATGTTAGTTTGAGGTCAATATGTTAGGTCATATAATAGGGCGTACATTGGTCGTACAAATACATACGATAGCTCATTACACTCGTAGAGATGTCGCGTACAAGTAAAGACTATTCAATATGCACAGTAGGGCTTTGTAGAGTCAAGTTTTCCCACCCGACATCAGTTTTTGCTTATCTCAATACATCCGACCAAAAAGATGGATGATTCTTCGGAACAGTGTGTGGCCAAGAGTTGATTCCTTGTGCTGGAGGTACGAAACGTGATTGCTATATTCTTAATTAGTGCTATTTCATGCGTGCTGCAGTTCCTGAAGGCTTTCTTGACACACGTATTGATCTTGTTTGTCGTGATGCACATCGCAAACACGTGTACATTGATAAAACGTAATTTCACTCCATACACTAAGCCTAAGCAATCACGCAGACCGTGGCAGAATTATATTGACAAGTCTTTGCTGACCACGGATGGCCGGGTATTGTGTGCACTGATAACGATAGTGAGTTCTGCGATGACGTAATGGAATCGCTAGTACTCGTATCAGGCATATGCCAAAAGAGAGGTGTGCCATATAAGCCGCAAACGCAAGGCGCGAATGAAACGCGCCATGGAAGACTTAAGTACTTTTTGCATACTGCATTAACGCATGACTTAAGTGGGTACAAACACAAATGAACGAGTGTGCTGATCCGGTTACAGGAACTACACCCGCTCACTATTTTCGTGGCAGATATAGTGATACAAATCCCCTTTAACAAGGACAAACCGGATCATCATGAGTTACCATGGTTGGAGAAGGTACAACGAATTAATAACGTTGTATATCCTTGCTTGCAAGAAATTCGCAATATAGCCTTATTAAAAAGGCACAAGCGTTCGAACACTGCCAAGAAGACAGCAGAGTATCAGGTTGGTGACAGAGTTAACATCTGTCAACGTAATTCCGATGCTACTGTATTAACATCTAAATGAGTAGGTCTATATATAATCTCTGTAGCAGACACTAAAAGTGGAACGTACGAGGTAAATAACCCCAATGGTTCTAGTGCGCTTAATATAGGCACAAGTCGTATTCCGACTACAAAGATTACACTCGCAAGAAGACATGATTCTAATGCCCCTCTTGATCGTTCTGAATTTAAAGACATTATATGGAGAACGGATAAGGGAGGCTATACATACTTTCGTACACGCTTTATAGACGGTACAATGGCTGAGTTGACTTCAAATGCTTTTGATAATCAAGACTATTTAAAAGTCTTTAATCGAAATGGCGTAAACGCCTGCATAAGTCACAAGCTGAAAAAGATAGCATGTTTCCATCGTCTGAAGGAACGGAAGTTAAAACTTATCCGTCTACAGCATTTATCCCGAGCTTTAATGCTCACCCTTCATATATGCTTAAGACACTGAAGCGTAGGAAACGTCCAGTCGACCACCATGGACCTACTGGACCTAAGCCCAAAACTCGCAGGGTAACCGAGAACGCTTAACTTCTCCGCCTGAGAAAC